TTTTTTTTTTTTTTTTTCCACATCAATGTGCTATACTCTATCACTGTCTTCCTTCCACTTACTTCGTTTTTCTTCCTCAAAGCACAAAGTGCTGGATAGGTGGTAGTATTGAAAGGATTTTAAAGAAAGAAGGTCTAACCTATTTCTCCTTTATACTTGTCCTGAAGCTGTGTGACTTTCTACTTCCCCACACATGGCCTGGTGACTAGTATCCAAGAAAATATTGGCTTCCTACAAGCTCATGTTATGTTTTCCTCTCTAACCTCTCCACAGTTTCAGTGACTACACTTTTAAAATCCCAAATAAGGGCATATAGCCTGAGACATTGTGATTTCCATTAGAGTACACAAGGACAACATATTTGAAATCAAAACTAAGAAAGTACTTGTGGTGCCTAGCAGAGAGATAAAGGACTGGCTCAATATGGATTTGTTGATTGTTTCATTGGAGGTTTATCACACATGGAGAGTAATGAGCAAAGTTAGAGTACATCTTTATCAGTGGACTTCAACAGGGTGGTCTTTCTGACAGGTCTTTTTGTTATATAGCCTTAATGTAGGCTTACTGAACCTGGTGTCTTGTTAATCTGAAAGTACTGTTTAGATACAAGGCTGTGGATTCTAAGAGATAAGCAGTTAATTATGAGTTCTAATCCCAGGCTAGAAGATGCCTATAAAGATTAAAACTTGTTTCCTTTTTTTTCCCTAAAAGTTAATGGCTTAGTGAGAGAAAGATCAATTGTAATTGGGGAACTGAAGAAGGTAATAAACACATTACTGAGGCCAGTTGCTTTATAGAGTCACTTATTTAATCCTTAAATTTTTCAGGTTGTAAATTACTCATTAGAAGGCAGAAAGCAAAACAGCCATAATCCTGTTCAGTGCCTTCAAACTCCAAAGACTTAGAAAAGGAAATCCATGGAAACAAGAGGCCTGATGTGTTTTTTTCACTGCTATTTCTTAATGGGCAAGGGAGGTTAAACAATAAGGACAAGCCCAAGTAATTATCCTGATGTGCCCAGGATAATCAAGCCCAGGTCAGGGTAGGCTTGATTAAATTCATGGAAGGTTGACCCACAAATGGTGGGAAAATGCCCCTTCTTTTCTACTCAGCCCTGAAGGCAGCTAATCAATGTGCATATCTCACTTCCAGATTGTTTCATGAGACCAGAGCAATAGCCCATAGCATTCATTAGGGCATCCACTCCTATCTGTTGTTTTCTAATTAGTTAGTGAAGGAACTAGTACAAGGGGACAAGTAGCAGAGAGGAATTAGGAGGAGTGGGGGGGAGGCTTTCCCTCTCTCCCTCTCCGTACATAAGGAATGCAGCTCTCAATTACAAAATGCTCAACTGCAAAAGCAATTAGTTTGTAGGTTTCTTTACATGTGTAGAAATCCACATATATTTGGCTCAAACATGGATTTTATAAGCTTAATGTGTAAACACTTAATCATTTATAAGGACAATGGTTTTGTATACTAAGGGTAAAATAACGTTTTAGACTCTTAGTGGTGATGATGGAAACAGTTTTCAAGATGCCTTTGGCATTGTAGGTCTAGTAAATACACTCTGCATACATTTTGTGAGTAAAATTTGAATCTGTGCGTATTTTCTTTTTTCAATAGTGTGATGACCTTTATATATACAACACAGCTTCTGGCTCACCCTTAGGTTATACATACAACAAAACAGCTACTGGTTGACTTCTGTTCTGAGCAAGTATTTCTTTCATTTTCCTTTGCTTTTTTCTCTCATGATCAATAGCATATCTGAATAAAGATGGTAGTGTCAAGCTATGAAATGGAGCTTTTCTCTTTGCATCGTAACCAGACCACATAAGGATCAAACTTCTAATTCTGCAGTAACAGACCGAGTTACCCAACACTATTTCCACTCACTTTCTACTTGACAGTCTAATTAAGTTTGTGATTTCATCAGGCTGGCACTGTGTCTATCCTGTGTCCCATTCAATATCTACCAAGCTGTTGTTGCTCAATAAATCATTACTAATAATGAAACAAAATCTAATTTAAAATATAGCTGAATGGAAATGCACTTATTTACTTTGTTAAAGTAATTATAAAGCAAGTGTTTCTTAGATAGATCATTTAATCATAGCATGTGATAAAACTACTTTCTTCCCACAGCTTACTTTAAAAAAAAAAAAAGCTTTTTCAACAGCAGACAGCTATACTAAAACATTTTAAGGACCCCTGCAATTAGAAATACTGGTAACAAAGCACTGGAAAAAAACTGTTGAGACATCTTAAGAGGAACCAAAAATAACTGATAGTAATTTTGAAAATTGTAACTTGGAGCTTCTATGTCACATGTCTGAGGAAAGAGGTCATTCTGGTCACTTTTGGTGAAGACAAGAAATGACAATTTGCCTTTTCCCTTACCTGAGGATGAAAACCAGAATTTTCTTTAGACTTACCCTGAGTGGATTTTCATTAAGGTAAGGGGGTTCACCTTCCACCATTTCAATTGCCATAATCCCCAGAGACCAAATATCAACTTTCGGACCATAAGCTTTTCGAGTTACCACCTCAGGTGCCATCCAATAGGGAGTTCCCACCATAGTGCTTCGTTTACTTTGCTCAGGGGTGATCTGGGCACAAAACCCAAAATCAGCTGCAGAGGAGAAAAGTCATTTAAAATCAGCTCAAATTATTTTTCTTTTACAGTAGGTTACTTTCGATACGGCTGTGCTTTCCTATGTTAGACACTGAGCTTCCACAACTGCCTAGCTCATATCCTTTTGTTACCTGATCTCTCAGCTGGTCCTGATTTTAAAAGAGTTTGAAATAACTGACTGATGTGATGTCATTTTTACTAGACCTCAGTCTGGTTCCCTCCAACTTACAAAATCTTTCAGTCTTCTAATTAAGTATGTGCCATTCAGTAGATAAAAGTTACTAGAAATTTTGAAATATTACCCCCCTCCAAATCTGGTGATAATCTATAGGAACACCGTGTTAAAATTATGTACTTCAAACTGGGCTCTAAATGCTTGCAAACCAATCACTTTTAATAGCTATTTTATTCTCAAGATAGAGAGTAAAAGAGCATAAATCCTCCGATACTCTCTTAAACACCATCAGAACCAAAATACCTACTCAATTTAACCGAGCCATCCATCCCAAGAAGAATATTGTCACTCTTTATGTCTCTATGGATCACTTGGTTTGAGTGCAAGAAATCCAAAGCTTGGAGGCACTATTGAATCAGGAAAAGAAAGTTCTAATTAGATCACAAATAATTTTTAAAACTTGAGTTTAATCTAGATAAATTTTGGCAGGAGTATAATTTTATATTGTCAAGTGAAATAGATTACTGAGTGCTTTGACACCAGTTTGAAATCACATTACCATTTACATCAGTGATGCAATTCAGCATAATACATATGAAAGCTCCTGAGTCAGATTAGGGCATGAAGAGTGATGGTATGATAAGTAGCAGTAACTCATTAATACATCCAAACTAACCAATCAATATAATCATGCTTTGACCTAGTTATCTAGAGAATATCACCTAGGTCTTAAACAGATGAAGTAAGCTTCTGCTTCCATGGTATGAATTGATTCAGTAGATATGGAGTGAAACACAGGAATCTGCATTTAAACAAGTGCCCTGAGCTATTTCTGATGGACAGCCAGGTTTGGGGACCACTATGAAGTAACAATAGGTACTTGTTTGGAAATGGTTTTGCACTGTAATACTAGAAGATGGAAATAACAGTCTCAGGGTTGAATATACCCCTACATTTTAAAAGTTTGACCCTTTGCATGAATAGAAAATATATGTGTTTAGTGGATAAGTTTGCATGTTTGGGGAAGAGGATATGAGAGTGAGAGGAGAACAAGGAAGGAGAAATTTAAGTGAACAATTTAAAATAAAATAAAGATGAGCTGAAATTATTTGGTTTTGTTTTATCTGTCATTGGTTTTCAAGTTTCAGTGGGTCAGAGTTCCTAATTGTATATATAGTAGATCCCCCTACAATGAATGTAGTAAATGGTAATGTCCAAGATAAAATTCCAATGAAGAGTGTTTTTTAATATTGAAAAATAATATAATAAAATATCCTTGGTTTAGCTTGAAAATAGGTATTATGACACTATTATTGGGAAAAAAGTAGACACTTAGACACATTAGAGGGCTATGAGGGATGCCCAAATTGTACTGTGAAAGTAACTACTCTCAGGGATGAGGACCTCAGTTAAATTACCTTCTAGAAAATGATGGAATTATAATATAGTCTGTATTTTTACATAGCTCACATTGCACATCCAAGACAAAATAACTACCATGTAAAAATTCGTTCAAATCAGAAAGAAGTTCCTTGCCAACATGACTATTTTCCATGTTCACTGAGACTTAAAACCACGCAGGCTTAAGTATGGTACCCTGTGGATGGCATAATGGAACTCAAAAAAATCCATAGTAAAGTAACTAAAACAAACAAGGGGTTGGGGAAGGAGGAGAAGAAGAGTGCTATTACATTAGGATTTAAACTGAATTTAGTTTCTCCAATTATTTTTTAGTAGAAAAAATGTGCTATTATTACTTTGATGTTATAAACATTCTGAATAATCAGAGGTAAAGAAAGAACTGACAATTTTGGTATTCTCATCAGCTAGAAATGCCCTATTTTCTTACCTCTCTGCAGACAGCTGCTATCTGTCCTTCATCCATACAGGTTTCTGTGACCACATCAGTCAAAGAGCCACCAGCCAAATATTCCATGACTACCCATAGTTCATCACCCACTAAGTAACTATAACAAGAGAAGAAAAATACTTTGACTCAGGCCTAAGAGAGTGGGGACCCTCCCATATTCCTATTAAAAAGGCAATTTGCAGTCATTCTCTCTGCATTTGGTCATATTACATGACAAGAAGAGAATATCAGTGATGGTGATAATGAGACACTTCCTTAACATTAGAGGAGAATATGCATGGAAATCAAATGATCATCAGATAAGACTGTGCACTACGGAGGAAAGAAAAAGAACAAGGAGGCCTCTGGTAACTGATTGCTACATTCCTTGTAAACTTTAGTTTCAATGAACAGGATCCCTTTTGGAAAGTTAGTTTCAATGAACAGGATCCCTTTTGGATAACTCAAGCCACAATGTTGACTTCTTGTACTGAACTGGCCCATGGCATACAGATTTATAGGATATTTATTTAGATCTTGGCATTATTTTCCATTCTACTGAATTGACTACTGAAATGTTTTCAAGTAGTCACTAAATCAAAGAGATTCATGTTTGCAATGGATTTACTGTACTGAGGTCTCAGTTCTGATAGAAGGCAGTCATGACACTTTATGAAACGCTGATTCCTCCTGTAAAATTTGACCCTCCTTTTTTTGTTTCTCTTTCCTCTCCTTCTGTACCACTGGTCTACCTGGCACAAAACACAGAAAGCAAGATCTTAAGCTCACTAAGGTTGTAGACCTAGTGTTATTTCCTCTGTACCCCCCAGAGTGCACAGCACAGTAGTGCTAAACAAACACTTATTGAAATTGAATGAGACAGATGTTAACCACAAGTGAAGAGCTGGTGTTGTCTGTAAATGCCTATTTATAACCCACTGCTCATACCACTGATGAAAGAGACATTAATTACCTGGTCTAGGAAGAAGGTTTGAGATTAAAGTCTCAATTCCCTAGGCCTCGCTGTCAGTTAATCGCAAAGGGCCCATTAAAGCAGGGCCATTGTAGGCAGCCTTCCTCACTTAGACACCCAGAGACTGCACTAGCTTCAAACAAACACTTGATGAAATGTTTAACGCACCACAGCCCTCTCCTATATGCAATAGGTTATTTCCTGCCAACACGAAACCCATGATCCTCAAAAGGAAATTACACAAACTACTCATGTTTAAAAGCAAGACCATAAACTGTGTCTTCAAATGTTTGATGGGTGGACAAAGATAAGTGGATGCAAGTTTAACAATAGATCTGATACTCTATTTTGTAACATTTGAGAAATATCTATGGAATGGATGCTAAATGAATAGATCCTAAATAAAAAAATTTGCTAAGAAGATGACATCCCATAAAGAAAACAAGCACACAATTAAAGAAAACACTTACCTATCTAAATAATTAACAATATTGGGGTTCTTATTTTCCCTCATGACCAGAATTTCATTAATAATTAATTCCTTTTTGGGCTGCTGTTGAAGATTCATCTGCTTTATGGCCACCTGAATGATGATTAAAATATAAGAATGAATTATAATTATTAGACTAAAAACAAACATCCATGTTTTGGGGTATACAAATTCTTTACCTTACTAAACTTTTTCTCAGTGCTGAAAACCCATTTCCCTTTTCTCTGATTAATCATGAGTAAACTATCCACTTCAGATACTTTGGACACCAATAAAAAAACCTCTAATACCCAGTGGTACTCATTTTTTTTTTCAAGTGTAGGTACCATCAAAGAAGAAATTTGATCAATACGAATAAAGGAAAATAAAAATCAGGATTGAATGTTAACCCTTACCTCTTGTCCTGTTGCAATGTCCAGTGCTGTATAAACAGTACCCGATGCCCTGTGAAAGTGAAAATTGTCAACTGAATAAGCAATCAAAACAAAATCAAAGTGCTAACAGTATATTTTCTTTGAAATAAATGTAATTATTTTTAGGAGAAGAATATCATCAAACTCAACATTAAAGGATGAAGTAAAAAGTAACAACTGTTTTGTATAGTAATTGCACCTGAAATAATCATGACATATCCCTTTTGGTGGGCCAGGAACTCCAGTTGGACTTCTGTATGCCATGGCACTACACAGTAATAAACTGAGCAAAATGACCTTGCTCCTTTTAGGAATCTCCTGGAACATTTTAAATAGTTCTTGGGTGTTGCAACAACCAACACTGCTGTTCTCTAATTAAACTGAAGTCTAGTTTAGGGGAAAAAATATCATTTTTTTTGCTTAGCCAACTGTAAATTAATCATTTCTCTTAGCTTATAGACAAGGAGGCTTTTAAAATATATTTTTAATTCTTAAGCATATCTTCATCTAACAAATCAATCACTCTCAGTGCTGTACTTACCTATACTGTAGCTACACAAACCAATAACAATATGGCTTTACTGTTGAATCTTTCTTTTCTTTCTGCTAAATTTCTCAACAGTTTCTATTGTGAGGTTACACTCCACTCCACTATCCTTTTAAAATCTATCATTTCTTAACTCTTGGTGGTACTCATGATTCCATTCTACCTCCAATTACAGGGTTCCTTTGCTTTGCAAATACTAGTTGTCTAGTAAAAATGGATTCATGGTAACATTTTGTGAAACACTTATGCATTCTGAACCACCTCCCCACCTCCATCTTCAGGAAAAAGGAAAAACCTAGTCATTTTTGTAGAAATGTCTATGGTGAATAAAAGATCAGTTCTGTGATTCACCAGGAATAGTAATGCTTTAACATTGCTGTCTAAACTTTCTGGTATTTGTTCTCATTTGTTCTCTATTTATCCCTTGCTGTTTTGTTTTTTGAGTCCAGGAATTCTCTGGTTATGTCAGCCATTTCCTTGTCATTCTTCTCTCTGGATGAGCTAAAATATTTATTACAGTCCTAGGAAGTTTCATTACCTCCTCCTAAGGAATAAAATAGGTGGTGTAGTTATAAGGAATATTTGAGTACTAATAGAGATTTGAGTGCTAATATTTGCCCTAACAGTAACAAGCTGTCTGACCTTGGGCTAGTAACTTCCCCTCTTTGTGTTTCAGTCCCCTCACTTGGAAAATAGTGGTCACATAACAATAAACATATATTGAACATGTTGTGTGTGTCAGACACTGGACTAAGAACTTTACATAAATTATCTTACATGATCCTTACCATATTTCTATAAGGCAAGTGCTATTATCCCCATGTTATAGGTAAGGAATCTGAGGCTCAGAGAGGTTAAGAAATCTGTCTAAGGTTATAGGGTTTACAATCTAAGCCTGTCTGACTCTCTGCGTTGCAAAATATAGAAAATGGGTTACTTTATTTTTAAGGTTCTTTAATTCCATGATCTAGAATCTATAAACTGCACTGTTCTTGTCACTCTTCATGGGTATTTAAATATCTATTGAAATTAGACTGAGAAGTCACACTTGATCAATAAGTGCTCTCTAAACTAGGATTTGGTAATTTCAGAAATTCCTTAGCTTTGAGAATTATATTAAACAAGTTGATCCCAAAATTTTATGTTTGAAATTCTGGGCTCAGAACACATAGATGGTGTTCAATAAATATTTGTTGAATAAACAAATTAATAAAAGTCTTTTCAAGCAAACATGTAATTGCAATAAAACCTTGCATTTCTGTGATGAAAACATTTCTTCTTTTACTTAAATCTACATAAAACTTACCTCTTGGAAAGAAAATTATCAGAGCTTCCTGATTTTAGGGGCTAGTTTGTGATTTGCCCTTCCAACCTCAGAATTGTCTGAGTTTAAAGGAATTAGTCACCTCAACCTAGTGTGTATTTTAGCTGCTTAAGCCCTGATCAGCTACTTAAATCTATACACAGAATGAAATTTAAAAATGCCTTTACTTGGTTTATTCCTATACATGTAGACCACTTGCTCAATTCCTTGAAATGCAAAAGAAAAGAAGAAAAAAAGAAAAAAAAAAGATATCTGCAAAATTAGATTATAAAAGCATTTATCTCATGGAACTACAGAGAATTAAATGGCACAATTTGCATAAGCATTTAGCCCTGTGCCCAGATCAGAAGGTGATGCTTAATATGGTAACTGCTATTATTGTCATTGTTGCTGCTGCTGTTATTGGATTCACAGTAGAGGATGACTGATTTGCTGCTGTTAGTTGGCACTTCCATTCTTCCAGTCAAAACATTGCTAGTGTCCATCACTATTTTCAAAAAGGACAAGGACTACGAGAATATTTTTGAGAGGTTCCATGTCCTTTTTTTCTTACTAAAGTGGTTGTGTCTTTTTCTTTAAGTTTGGAATGCTTTTATCAAATGAATAAATCTTTATCATGTACAGAAATCCTCAATATAAAATGGAGCTGTTCCAGTTAGAGCCTAAGGAAGAAGGCCCCAAATTCCTGCCCAAGTGGCCTTCCCCTTCTTCGCCACCCCATCCTCCACTCCCTAAACCCATTTCCACTGTCCTATGGGCTAAAATTGTGATTTACTTGGAGTGTAAGTGGGATTAGCGTTTAACATCTCCAGACCTTTACCTTTCAAATCCTTGGGGTTTTGCTCCCCCCACCTCCCTTAGCACTTTACTGTTTTAAAATTCTTAGAGTTCTTACCTTGGAATCCCAATATCTTGGTTTTTATGGCATTCTGTGGTATAGAATTACCGAAAATCCCTAACCCACAGAGGTTTTTAACACCCTGAAACTCTAAGAATCAGTTTTTAACTCAAAAATGAGCTTTACTCCTCACTTCTTCTTTCCTCACCTTACTGCACACATGTAATTGCCTAGTGGGAGCCATTTTCCACTTCCCTCCAACTCTTTTTTTAAAAAAATATATCTTTATTGATTTCAGATAGAGGAAAGGAGAGGGATAGAGAGATAGAAACATCAATGATGAGAGAGTCATTGATAGGCTGCAGCCCACAACCTGGGCATGTGCCCTGACCGGGAATCGAACCCAGATCGCCTGGATCCTAGGTCGATGCTCAACCGCTGAGCCATGCCAGGCCAGGTCCCTTCAACTCTTGTCTCCAATTTTAAAATGGTGATGTCGTCCTCCACTCCACTTCCCACACCCAACCCCCACACCAAACATATTGTTAGGAATCTGGAATTCACTGTTCTGACCAATAATTTACATGTTGGCCCAACTTCCAGTCTTTGTAGAATTCTTAGCTCAAATGCACATACACTCAGGTACTAATCTACAGAGTAAAATTTAGTGCCCTGTCTCCAGCTCCATCTTAGCACCTCTAAATAACCTCTCTGCACCTTAGTTCTGATGTTTTTCCATATTCCAACTGATATAAATGTGAATCTCTCTCCTTCTCTTATTCATCTATTAAAGCATTCTCTTTGCTCACTGATGGGTTAAGAACAAGAGTCCTCACCCTCATCTACTCAAGTTTCCCCAGGTTCAAATCCTACCAGTTCCTATTTGTGTGACCCTGGGTAAGTAATTTTACCTCTCTGTGAGTCAGGATTAAAGGATCAAATGTATACAGTGTTTAAAACCAGTCCTGGCATGTAGTAATTGCCAATAAATATTAGCAAACATCACTACCATCATCAACATCATCATGATTATCATCATCATCATCATAATCTTCATCATCTATCTTCATCATGACCCACAGACTACAATTTGATATGTATGCCATTTAATTACATTCATTCTTATTGTCTCTCCTTTCCAATTATATTGAAACCAGATTGCTATAGGGAGAACATTTGTTTATGATGGGGTTTTGTTTACTTATTAAAAGACCTAACCATTCAGATGGTATAAAGAAATCAAGCATTATCAGGACTCAAGGAAAAAGAGATAATCTAAGATGACGCAGCTAGTAAGTAACAAAAGTTTCCTAACTTTGAGCAAAAGATTTTCGGTTAACTTATACTATGGTTCAAGAATATTAAATCAAGTAATTATTCAACCATTAGGGTTCATCATCAATTATAATGTGATGTGTACTGCTGGGTTCTTGGCATTAAATGTTTTACCAACAGTTTTTCCTTGACCTGGCCAAGTACTTAACTCAAATGAAAACATTGGCATCTATCCTAAAGGGTCTAGAAACACACAATTCACTATTTCTATCTTTTTTTCCCAAGACAAGTCAGTTTAATTATCAGCAATCTTCATCAGATTTTAATGTTTTCTCCTAAGATCCAATGTCAATCCATGATCATGAATGGTTGCCAAAGCAGTAACATGGTAGGAATTATAATTTAGATAAATCACTCTGATTCCGCATAGAAATGGATTAGAGGAAGAAAGAAAGGGCAAGAAAATAAGGCTAGTAAGAATCTCATGGACTGGGTGAAAAAGAAAAGGGCAAGACGACTAGAGAGCTCAATGGGATCCAAGGAGAGCCTCCTGGGAATAAGAGTGAGGGAGCCAAAAGGATAGGGCAATCTTCACATTTAAGGTTTTACAAGTATAAATCTGATGTTAATGAATTCAAGTCAGGGATTTAACACACATTTAAGATGGTTATTTTTTACATCTACTCTTATTTCTGCTGCTGCTGCTAGAAAAGGCTGTATCACTTATTGATCCCTACTTTCTGCCTGCGCTCTGTAGATGGATGAATGATCTCACTTAATGCTCACCCTGTACAACCCTTTGAGGCAAGTTCTAGCATCTTCATTTTACAGAAAACTAAAACTGGGAAATAGTAAACAGCTTGTCCAAGCTTACACAGTTAGTCAGCAACTAAGCTAAAAAATATATATTAGTTTGACTTCACTGCCCATGCTCTTAACCATCATGATCTATTATATTTAGCATTTTTATATCAATGCTAAGTGCAAGTGTGGTACTTCCCAAAGTTCATGTTTGTATTTACTATGCTAAACTGCCTCCCTAAAATA